ACCATGGCTGCCATGTTGGTAGCGTAAACAAAKAAAGCCAATAAGAAATATTGTTAAATATATATAGCACCAACATGGCGGCGATAACGCGAACCAAGAATCCTGAAATTCCTTTTGAGTTATATGGATTTTAACTTTGCTATGAAAGAGCGCATTCTTAAGACATCGTTGACCTACCCGTGCCACGCCCACACAACGTTTTGACATCCTCATTATCCAGGTATCTCTCCCAGAACGATATGTCACCGCTCTCAAACTTGGTGCAGTGAAAATGAGGGCTGTAGTTTGGTCGACCAATCATAAGCTGGGTATTGAAGTCAGTCACGTGACAGCCTGGTGAGCGGCAGCCCAGACAGTGTTCGCTTGACGAGGTATGTCCTTTTAGCTCACAGTTSAGGTAGAGTTTCAGACCTGAGGTTTGAAAAAAAGATCTATAAATCTTTGCACAGGTTGTTAAAGCACTAATATTATTATAGGAGGTATTGCTGACATAGTAGCCAATTTGCGATGTGCATTCAGTATTCAGCATGGCGACCAATCCCCTATTTCTTTAAGAGAGAATTACTGCTTTTTTCCCCCTAGAATCGATTCTACTGTTTCAATTGTTTAGTGTCCTCCAGCATGGCTGTCAATGATTATACCTTTATCTTTCCTCCACGTTACCAGTACATCGTGCCAGCGGTCTGTMTCCAAGGGCGTCTCCAGGCAYAGCGAGTCGTTAGGTATKGCTATATCAGCGCGTAGCTTCCCTTGTAAAGTGTACAAAGAGAATCCCTTGGAGTTGAACGTCGATGCTCCTGAATCAACGATGTATCTCATGTCRTCTGATTTAAGGAAGGTGTCTTTGTCCGTCTTTAGAGTCATTTCGAATGAAAACCCATCATCACATTTATCTGGAGCTGATGGCAAAAAATCTTTGATTAGTCAAGCCAAGTCTAAGCCTTGTCAACATTCTGTTGTGGTCACCCTGTCATATATATCACATTTTTCCCCCAGTTATCATATTTCTAGTTTAATATATGGCGAAACTAATAAATAAATAATAAATAATAACTTATCGCTGATAACAGCCCACGTGATTGGACTGGTCGACAATGCTGCTATTTCTTATGAAATAATTCTGTTAAGTTAATCTTTTTTCCACTAACCACTGATGCATCCACCAGCAAAGTCTCCACCTCCTAACCACGCATCTTCTCCATTGAACGACAATCCCCCTCGTGTCTTTAGGATATGGCCGTGTGATATCATGGCAGCTCCAGGACTACCCGGGATTCTGTCCCCGATGATGTTRCTAAGCGACCAGTGGTATGATGGGTGTACTGTCAAAGCGATTAAAGAAGGATTATTTGCCGTCAAATTATTAACCAATCGTGATATCATTATGAATTCACCGTTCAATTGGATTAGTTTTTTAACACGTTATTAGAWTTTTGCAAATATGTGTGCGCATGCTCCGTCGATTATAGTGATGTCATTGTTTAAATATTCCATTGAGCATTCCATTAATTTTTCGTTTTTCGTTTCGAAGTTTTGCGACAACGTTACGTCATCGTAGCCATGTTGGTAGTCAAAAGATTTCACCAACATGGCCGACACTACTGACATACTTAATGTTAAACGTGATTAGAGCGAGTACAAAGTATAACTTACATGCATGTGATTTGGGTATCTTTGAGTTGATAGTCTGTGTCATATTCTCTTCTCGCTCGTTCACAGACCTGGATTTTGTTGGACTTAGCCTCGTTTCGATGTCCTCAGGTTTGATCCCTGCCTCGCCTTGGTGTGCTGCGGCTATCTTCTGGGTGTTGTTGTCTTGTTGCTCTGTTTGATTAACCACTGTCTCATGCTTGTCGTCATGCTTCGCCTCATGCTTGGGATCATGCTTGTCTTCGTGTGACTGATCCTTGTCAGGATAGTCCAAAAGGTTCTCAAGGTCTTTTGAGTTTCCGTTGATCCGTCGGATCAGATTGTCGAATCCTTCATCAGGAATATCAAAGCTGACGCCGTCGAACACAATATGATGCTTACCTCTTTGCGATATAGTACCGTCTCTTCCTACTCCAGTCATCTGCCTGAAGGCTTGAATRTTAAGTTGCTCCGGAGTGTAAGCTCCTTGTCCAGGTCCTTGAGGCTGCGAAGGAGCGAGCATAGGTTGTCCTGGAGTTGCGTCAGCCATCTGCATTGGGTTGGTTAACACGCCTCCGGGCGGCATATTCATGGGGTTTAAAGKGTTCGGATACGGTGGGATATTTTGTTGTATACCAGTGGGGCTGCCCGTCATGTGAACTTGTTTTGGTTCAGGCATGATCAGAGGTGGAGGTTCTACTGTATTTATGTTTTCCTGCTCGTTATGTTTGTCATCTTTCTCCTTGGTGTTCYTTTCTTTGGTTTTGTCAATGCTTTCATTTCCATTCATTTCGTTCTCACTCAGCTTCTTGTCGTCTTTATTCTTTCCTTTCTTGTCGTTTCCATTTGCTGCCATAATGGTTGCATTAATCCTCCCTCCCTTGATGATAACTCCGTCTCCTATCTCTCCTCCCTCAATAACGCCTCCTTCTATTATTCCCCCATTGATTTTCCCCGCCAAAACCACTCCACCTTTAAGCTGGCCCCTTTCCATGACCCCACCCCTCAGAACACCCCCACTAATTGACCCCCCTTTGAGAATACCCCCCTCGATGCTCCCGTTTGTCATTTCCCCTCCCAGCATTGTACCAGCCTTGATAGTCCCGCCGGAGAGTTTCCCAAATTTGAGGATTCCACCCTCGACGCTTCCTCCAGTCATTGTCCCTCCTTCCATCTTCCCTCCCTTGATACTGCCTCCCTTGACCTCGCCCCCTCTCATTACCCCTCCCTCTAGGCTTCCTCCTCGAAATGAGCCACCTTGAAGCACACCACCTTTGATGTCCCCACCTTCGATATAACCACCTTTRACGCTTCCTCCATACATTCTTCCTCCCTTCATCAATCCACCTTCAAAACTRCCGTTGATTAAACGTCCACCTTCAATCAGTCCATCATGAAAAATCCCGCCYTCCATTGTTCCATTTTTGAATTTCCCCCCATTTACATAACCTCCTTTAATAGTCCCTCCTTCAATACTTCCAGCACTTATTTCACCTCCTTCTATAAGCCCACCAGTTATAGTGCCCCCAGTGATCTTTCCCCCTTGGATTCTTGTCCCTTTGACTTGTAGAGGAGCCAAGTATTCTTTGTTGTCCTTTTCCTTCTGTACGACCATTTTCTCTCCTTCGCTCGTCGTTACTTTGTTTTCCAATGAAGGCGACGGRCCCTTGATTTCTTTTACTTTTTTATCCTCTTTTTGATCTAAATTCCCATCTTTTTGCTTTCTATTCAGTCCAAAAAGTTCAAACGGATTGAAGAAAGGATTAGCAAGGAATTGGTTATAAACGTCTGACTGTGCCTGGCCTTCTTTGCTGTCCGCGTAGTCATGGCTCCCAGTAGTTGCCTCACTGTGGTTTCTGTTTGATTCCGTGTTGTTGTCTTGTTCTTTTATATTTTGTTTATCCTGTTTATCTTGTTTTCCGAGACCTGCTTTCTYCAACTTTCCCGGTTTAGTTGCATTACTAACCTCTACTGCGTTATCTTTACCGCCTGTTTTTGCCATTCCTTCATTTGCTGTGGTTGCTGTATTTGGTGTGTTGACAATGCTCTCAGTGTTCCCAACATTCAGCGTAGTAACAGGACGTTCCTCCGTCTGAGCATGCGCATTATCAATCGGATATGGGTAGTCCATAACATTCGGGTCTTGTTCGTTATTTTCTTGTGCTGTGTTGTCATTACTGTTGGTGTGACCGTTGTTCTGTTCATAGTTCTGTTCGTCTTTCTCTTGTGGCCTCCGTCCCCCTTGTTGCTGACTAATATCTTCGTTTTGATCCAGCTGTTGTGAAAACGAGTCTACGTTGTTCATTTCCTCACTACTGTCGTACCTACTAACTGCCTCATGTCCTCTGATCCGATGGCTGCTCACCTCAGCTGCAACAGCCTTGCTTATCTTATGTCCATTACCGAAGTGAGACTTTGTAGGTCGAATTTTCTTCATATTTTCTGCAGGACTTTTCCCTTCCTCGATAGCATTATAAAAATCATCCGAATCAGATTCTTCTGGGTTGTCACTAAAAACCTCGTAACCAGGCCCCCCGTCGTGCTGCTTGTTTAACTTGTACCCAGGACTCTCTTCCAAACCCTGCGTTTCTGACTTAGTATTTCCTACTGAATTCTCATCTTCTGCATATTCACCAAGTTGGTTCAGCGGTGCTTCATGGTTGTCATGGTGACGAGATTTCGGCTTGCCAATTGCCGTTTTATCGTCTCCGTTCAACGCGTGGAAGTAGTCAGTCAGCTCACCAGTGTCAATCATCTTAACTTTCTCCATGTCACTGGTAACATCGTCATTGATTCCCTGTTTATACGCGCCTTGCACGTCGTCTATTCTGTTGATTTCGTTCGCAATGTTCTCCCTTGAAACAGCATTTGCCTCGTGGGAATTTCCGTCATGAATCTTATGACCATGTTTATGTTTTTTACTCTCACTTGAACTCGCAATGCTTTTTCGTTGGCTGCTATCAACTTGTGAAGTATCATTTTTGTTAGTCACGTGKTGTGACGTACTTTCTTTTGCGTCACGTGATTCCTTACCTATGGCAAGAATAGTCACCAATTTGTCTTTGTTTTCTTTTGAGTTTGACGATTCTTTCGCTTTGTGATGTTTTTTCTTCGCAGTTGTGTGTCCACTGATTGTCAATAGTATAAAAAGACAACACACCGTTATCTTGAGAAATGTCAACTTTGTTGCCATGGCAATAGTCTAGAAATGTAAAACAGATATGTGTAGTTAGTTTCGTGGATTCTTTTTGGTGTCGTTGCTCTTAAATGGCTTCCGCTTTTCAACCAATCAGGAAAGAGCAKGAAAAGTGCAATAGAGGCTTTGTATGTAGCATCACATCATGRCAGCCATGACAGAAGGCACAACAATAGTATTGTTTCCCAGAGAAACTGAATTCTTACTCATGTAAATAAGATCAGACCAGATATAATTGTTACTGCTTCTTGTTATGGCTGCTACACAAGCCTCTGTTATCCATTAAGAAGGAAAACGCACGGAATTCGTTYCACCTATAACATTATGCGACACCGTACCTAATCAAAACTACGTAAAACAATTTAAAACTTCCCCCTATCAAAACCAATAGACGTAATATATTCTTGCTACATTTAGATATATGTTAAATATAATGCTTATATATTTACTGTATGAAACAAATGTCTTCTGTTTTTAGAKCGTTTACTAAGTGATCTGTAAGTACCTACGATAGCATGGAAGGAAGCCATCCGTAAAATATATCAGTGTATTATATAATTAATGACAAAAAATAAAGCTAAAATATAAAATATAACAGGAACAATCGTTTTGATATAAAACAAAATCTTTTCTCAAACAATACATTTTCTTTTGTTGAATATATAAACTTATTTTCGTCTTGCATATCAATTTTTATGAAGAACACTTCAATTCTTTTGTTGATTTAAATTTTTAGAGCTAAATCGATCATGGGATACACTTAATTATCTTTTCAAAATATGGAATAAAAAATATCACTTCGAATCTAAATAATAGTTTATTTTGACTACGAAAAAATAAGAAAAACAAATTGTAAGAAAAAACAAATTCTTGTTAATTAAAGCTATTATATTTTAAGGAGAAGAAAATATAGGTAATACTTTTTCTTACCTCAAATACGGTGAATAGTTGAATTGCTCGGATGAGTCGTTGAAGACTTTAGTCGGGAGATAATCCAAAATAACCCTTTTTCAAGCCTCAAYCAAGAAATCCTAGTTTCATGACACTGGAGTCTAATATCGGCATTAAAAAACGTACTCCAACTTCATTYGTGCAAAAAAAAGTTTAACAAATATTTTAAAAAAAATAACAGAAAAAAAAGCGCGATTATTTTGACGTGTGAAGGTTATGGTTCTACGCATGCGTGGTCATCCATTGATAAGATGGTACTTGAAAATGACAAGATCTTTCAGGAATGTCTTGATGATTTCTGCTCCAAGTTCGCTTGTCAAAAAGTGTTTCTCGCAGAGTTCCACGAGATATTTGAAACCTTGAAAGAACAGATAGATAATTTAAACAAAAAAACCAAAAAAACCAAAAAAAAACAAAACAAAAAAAATCAATATTCTCGATATTAAACTTAAAATTTGGTTATCCTTTTTTTTGATTTTTCGAACTTCGACTCAGATGACAAATGTAGTAAAATCCTAACCTATTTTTCCGTTACATAATAATAATATATTACTTCAAACAAAATGTGCATAAATTAAAACGGAAAACAATTTAAAAGTCAGTTGTACCCAGGCTCTCTCTTCCTCCATGTGACCTCCATGTGATCTCCAGCGATCTCTAAATACAGGATATTGATCTTACTCACAGGTACCAGTAAAAAACYATAGTAGATCTTTGTATTTCTTAAATATTTAATAACCTTTATAGTCTAAGAGCTCGTTGTAAATCAGTTTGGAAAAGAGAGCCTTTTTTCGCCAAGGGATTTGAATTTTGCAAATGGCCAAGTGAAAAGAGTGATTCCTCTTGTATGTAAATCTGTGGCGATATTCGTTTTTTACTAGTACTTCTTTCAATAAGGTAAGCTTTTTTCATCATATTCTTTTGCAGTTTTGAAGCAATAGACTATAAAATACTTTTATTAAAATTACTAGTCTACATTTTCAAACGAATTTATTTTATTTTCTCTCGATAAGATGATACTGAATTCAAATCTTAATAACGAAGTTCAGATTTGTAACTGTGTTTTGAGTTCTTTTCTCCTCCACAGCTTTTGTTTTCAAAAGCAAATCTTGCAAACCTGCTCTAGTTACCCGTAGTTATCTTTCAGATATACCTTGTATTTAAAACTTTAGATTYATGAAAATTAAAATAACGATAATTGATAGCTAAACATCTCGTAATAGAAATTTTATCAGATTATCGAATTTTTTTTAGTCGTTTTGCTTTCACTTCCATYACTAAGCTAATTTGATAGTCCTCCCCAGTCTCTCTCTGCTCCRCGCCCCATACCTCCCCCTTCCCCTCAATAATTCCAAGTTTTACTATTGTTTGCGAAATGTGTCATATTTGAACACAACTCGTACGTAACACTGACTTTAAATAATTATTTTTTAGCGAAAATAATCCAGAATGTCCAGTTTACTGTTTCTTTGCTGTTTGATATGTTCCGGCGTTATTTGTACTGGAGCTTCAAGTGACAACAGGCCATTAAAACGAGGTAAATGTAAGAAATTTATAATAATAATAATAATGATAATGGGGTTCTYCTATAGCGCATGGAGGACTTTACGGGCTGCATATTATATTAACGTTTATAAAAAAGCAGAAAGATAGAAAAGAAGTAAATAAGGAAAACGAAATGAAGGGAGAGAGTAAAGAAAACATATGAACAATTTGTGCGCATTTGCGCATTTGCTATTCAGCGGATAAATGCACGCGTTTGTGAATATATTTTTAAAAATGACGGGAAAATATAAAATTGCATTAACCAAATCACTTTTGTTTCCATTCAGAATCAGTAAGATCATTAGAATGATTGCTTTTTTTTATTATTTTAACCAGAAAAGGTATTGGGATCAGAGGATCTTGATGTCAGTGAAATACRTAATCTTCTTGAGCACGACAATCCTCAAAACGATGATGAAATCCGGGCAGCTTTTCCAGTAATGAACGCATTCAAGTCCCATCAATTATTYTCTCCAGAAGACTTAAAAGATAAGAGAGAATACGAGAATACAGATGAATCGAACATTGAACAGGCTGTACAAGCAGCTTTGAGGAAACTTCGTAAGAAAAAGGCATTTTATGACGATGCTGTAAAACAAAACACTGCTGCTTTTGACGACGAGGGGCATAAACATTTAGCAGATAAACACGAGAAAAAGAATGTGACAGCGAAAGAACTCATTGACGAAGTCGTGAAAGATGAGATCAAAAGCCATGGAGGTTCGCCWGACAATGAAAGTGACGATGACGAAGAATCTGGAGAAGACTCAAGAGCAAGCTCAAGGTCTAGTTTTGATGATAAACAGATTCATAAGAAACTGGCTGAGATTGCTCTTTTGGAGAACAAGCTTGCACATTTAGTTCGACAAGTCAAGCACTACCTGAAAAAGAAAAAAGCCCATGGACATAAATCGGAAGGGTTGGAAGATAACGATGATGTTGAAACTATTTTAGCCGAAGCTGACGAAAAGAAAAAGAGAAGTGGAATACCACACACTTCAATCCTCGAAAAATTYCGAAAAAATCCGGGCCTCGTCGACAAATATATGAACAGTATACTAAATGATGATAGTGACACAGTTAATGGAAACCAGAGAGACTTGCTTGGTAAGAAAGAGATGGAGACGGCGTTGCTTAGAAACGTCGTACCTGGAGAAATCAACTCGATCCCGTTGTCAAGGCTTGATAAAGAAAGTGATGATTACGAGAATATGGCTACCGATAGAGGTGTTGCTCGAGACGCAATGGTCGAGTCGCCATTTTCTATTCTTGATGTAAAGAAGACGACTGGCAAGAAGTTTCGACACGATGTTTCTTAAGCTATTTAATTTTCATCCGCGTGATTAAACTTTATGCTGATTGGTTCGTATTTAGGGACAATAAAAACTATTAATGACGTCACCATCTAGACCAACCAATTATATTTCAGAAAGAGCTCGCAAAATTTAAATTTATGTATTTTTTCATAGAATGTACTTTTCAAAAGATTTCTCGTTATCACGATTTCACTTGTGTTTTTCAGTGTTTCTTACACCTGGAATCTACAAAAAACCATGCGCACCGGCAATGACGTCATTATAACAACATCAACGACAAAAACGATTTTAATGAATACATCAGTAATCATATATCAATGAATTCAATTATATAAATGTAGAGCACATTTGTGATTCTTGGAAGCATTAATTTATATATCTATAATAATAATAATAATAATATTATTATTTAAGAGTTTCTTTGTTCGTGGGAATCATGACTTTACTACTTTTTTTTTTGTTTCATGTACGTATTTATAGCAGGAATATGAAAATAAATACGTGGATGAAACAAAAAAAGTGATAATTGAAGTAAAGAATATTCGCATGAAGGCTCAATTATGTAACAATCAAACATCAATTTGAAATATTTTTCTGMAATATATATTTCGCTATATATTAAACAATGACAATATTTTGCAATACTCTAAATATKCCAGACTTTTCTATTTATTTTCAGTCTCAATTGCTGTTTTATCATCCAMCACTCAGGTATAATTCTGTCCAATGGCTCTTTGTATATGTCCGAGTAACATTTTTCTCAGTAGTACAAGGACCTTTTCCAAAGTACCATTCGGTTTGGTATTAGGCTTACGACTAGGTGACTTACTTTGTGGATATTTTTGAACTTTATGGAAAATTATTGAGCTAGACTTCCCTTACTGCCTATCTGTTGTACCGTGCKTGTGTGCGATGTTTAAATTTGGCTTATTAATTAGTATACGTTAGCTTTTTTAAACAGAAACTCAATTAARTAACATCACTATAACTGCGTTGCTTCGTGAAAAAAAGGGATTATGAGAAACGTGATCGTAGAGTAAATTCGTAGGGACATATTTCCAMTTCAGTTTCACGCCCTTCCAAAAGAAATACCCTTAGAAGGGATATTGGATTGTATTACAATCTATAGCCGWCCCATCAGCTCCAAGAACAAAAGACTTGCAGGTGAGATCTACCAAACAGCGACCAAATGCACGCTGACATTTAGAGCCAAGACATGGATCGTAGCCACAGAAAAGAGTGGGATCCTTTACTTCATAGCGCTGCCAACCTAGATAAGCACGTGATATGTGAGACAGATGACCAAATAAGGAATTCATAGTGATCGAGCAGGTTATATAGCGGGAGTCAGGAGGGGGGGGGAGAATCTAAGGTAGGGAAGGTTGGAAGGAAGCCTGCTGTTTAAAGAAGCGCTATCCATATGGCATGGGAAGAACAATGGCCTAGCGAATCCCTGAGACAAAGGGGCGAGAGCGCGCGCTTTTTGAAATTTCCCGCCAAAACCACAGGCAGCCCACCAAGACAAACTACTAAAGGATTATTTAGACTTAAAGAACTTTTCTGGATGTATAGAGATTCAGTAATGAGATATCCCGTACCTCTGCACCTATCATCGATTTGTCCGAACTCATTAAAAAAGACTGGATCACAGCTCGTATCCGCCAGGCACTTGCTCTCACTATTATCCATACAGCCAAACTCTGAACACGGGTTGAATCCACACATGGACTCAGGATTGACGTTTGCTACCATAGCACTTTTGTGCACACCTAAGAAATGGGTAGGAAACTTATCAGACACATGACACGTAAGGGACTTTATCCGCGGCATGATTGGCCCTGAACTTACTTTGCTCTGAACCAATCAGAGAGCTAATTGCGCGCGCACCGCACCCAAATACAATCTTTGGACTCAAAAGCCATTCGAGGGCAAATTTACTCCAGGCGCGTCTTTCAAATGCAATGGACTACATCCTATCCAGGTGAAGYTTGATAGTCGACTTATACGGAATTAAACTGAACCTAGATTACTTATCGTCGGCAATATTRACACGCTGTTTGGCTCTCCCAGTTTCCAATGGGACGCATTTATTTTTACAACCACACGTCTCTTACAAGTATATATTAATAATTAAACATTAGGCCGGGTTTCCATTGGCGACAGAAACACAACGCAATGAGATAAACGCAGATCAAACATTTCCGGTCCATAGCTTCTCCTTTCGCTCTCAGTGGCAACCAAACTTTACATGTGTGCTAACGTTAGTGTTGAGACRTTAGCGTTGAGATAAACATAGGCTTGGCTAAGATCGTTACATATTTGAGCCAACTGAACCCAAGTAAATCTAAATCCATCTATACGAATATCAAGTATGTTTGCGCAGAAAAAAAACAATTTGCTTAAACTTGGGTACTAGAGTTTTACATTACCATCTGAGGGTTTTGAGCATTTATGARCGTTGCAGACTTTGACTCCTATCAAAAGGTCTTGATCGCAAAGATGGCGTCCTTTGATTTTCTTGCAATGTCGTGTCCTCTTTGTCCATCCTCCTCCACAAGATTTTGTGCATGGAGAGAACGCTGACCATGGACCATAATGTTCCTCACCTGCATCAAATATTGTGACCTCTTTAGCTTGARTGCTATGTTTTCCCATTTCTGATCATGTGTCATTCACTAGCTATAGAGTATCATTTCTTTGTGTAACGKTTGAACACGAGAAAACACGTGCAGGAATTTGAACACAACTCAAACAAAACAATTTTTCTTAAGAGAATGACACGTGGTTGACCCGAAGTGGGAATACCTCCTCCCGACCACTACTTAATATTTGTATGTAGATTTAAGAGTCTTACCTTCACATGTCTTTAACTTGCAGTGCTCTCTCTGCAGGGTTGATGATTTACACAATTTTTTATAGTCGCAATTACAGGTCCTCGTGCGAAATTTAAACGAATTCTCGCCGCACGATTTCGAGCACTTTGACCACTTGCTCCAAGGAGAAACGACGCAGTTGTCGTGAAAAGCAAGCCCATTATCGGTGTGGATGACAGGGCTTGACGGTTTATTAACTTTATCAGCAAGAATTCTCCTTGATGCCGAAAACTTGTCTCGCTGTTTATAGCCAAATCTCATTGGTGCATATTGAGGTCCTGCGACGCAAAAGGTAGGAAAAAATCATCATAATATTTTTTGTTTTATAAATTTATGTKGTGCACAATGATTTTTATGCACGCTTCTTATGCACGCGCTTCTTAGGAAAAAAACGTTGCGCGCAGCAAGCTTCGCCTTGTGAACAACACCTTCAACATTATAAACGATGGCATGATGATCTCAGCCAATGAAATTCGACTTCAATTCTTCGTGTGTGTATCGCTGGCCAAACCTCGGTCGGCAGCAGCGTTGCACGTAATAGATCCGGATATAGCATACGAGACTTTGGTGGTCGATATTTGGCTGGAAATTGATTGACTGATTATTAGGGAAAGTTTTTTAGAGCTTAGTAAGCGTTCGATAAGATGGAAGTTTAGTAGCAATTGATTCTTGGTTAAGAAATAATCAAATCTATAAATTCTCGCTACCTTTACAAGGTAATGGCTTACACCACGTCCACTGCATTGTAGGCTCAACGCATACTCCAGTGTCCTTTGACCGCTGGCCAGGGCAATTCCTGGTTCGAATTCTCAGGCTTTGAATGCCGCATCTTTTTGAACAGGTTGACCAAGATCCCCACTGACTGGGCATATTGTTTCCCTCGATGATTACGTCTGCATAGGTCGAGTTATTATTGTGACTTACGATGTGTAGGCCTGAATCTGTCGAGRAAGTATTATAACTATTAATCTTTTTTAGTTTTTTGATATCCTTGGGGTGTATGTTACGTCATAGCCGCCATGTTGGTTGACGACAACAAAGCATTCCTCAATAATTTGCTAYAGCTTCTCTTGTTAGATCAACCAACATGGAGGCTGTTTCACTATTATTATATAATGGGATTTTGAGTCTTATGGTTGCACGCCAATACTTTGCTCAACGAATACGAACTGGCGTTGTAACGTAGCTCTGATGTCATAAGGTGAGAGCGACCCTTCCGACACTTGAACTACATTCACTATTTACAAGAAAACACTCAACTACCATATTGCTTCTTATGAAGGGAGGAAAACGGGAGAGCCTGTTCTTCGACAATTTTTGCAATTTTTCGCTATTAAAACACATACAATATTTTTAAACAGCTTTTCTATCTTACCTGAACAGACATCAACACTAGCRCACCATTTCCAATCTATAGCACTCCCTTTRCAATCTGGATGATCCTTCTGCGCAYGCGCACATTGCCGTGTACGRATCTGTAGTCCGTTTCTCCCACACGTGTCCGAACAGGTCGACCAAGGACCCCAACTAGTCATGCGCAATGTGTCATGCCCGTGGGAATGTATGACTTTTTCAGGCGACCAGATTTGCTTTGTGACATCGTGTTCGTTCTTAAGCTGTTTAAAGTTGGATTTCGGARTGTCATTTGTTAAGTTCAATTTGTATTGAGAATGTATATTTTCAACTTCAGAATCATTTGACAGCTTTCCATATTGCTTTGTCTTAAAAGTGATGTTACCATATTGAAGGTCACTATTTCGAACGCTATTTTCGAGGTTCTTTGCTTTCATATCGTTATCATTTCTCGTGATGTTTTCGAATTCACTATTTGCTGTTGCATTAAGCCCTTCTTCCTGCATTATAGAATCTTCACCCAGAGAAGACTCATTTTTTATCTGCATATTCATCTTCATTTCRTTGCTTGAGCTTGTAGTTGTATTACTCCCGTTCTGGTTCATGTCAAACTGAATGCCATGAATGTTGTCTTTTATTGGCAACCAAGCGGCATTATTTTGTTTTGGACTCAAATCATTGTGAACTTGTTCTTTTCCATTGTTGTGTTTCTGTGTCATATCATCTTGAATTCCACTGACTTGATTKGTCCGGCCATTTTTCTGGGATTCCGCTATGTCATTTTGCATTCCCTGTACCGAATGCGATGTCTTTTTATTCCTGTCGTCTTGGCTCATATCAAACTGTATTCCATGTATCTCTTCCTTGATAGGCAGCCAATCAGGAGCGGCGATGTCTACCTCGCCGCGCGAGGCCTTGGAGCTATTACTTCCTTTAGGTCCAGTCGTACCATTTGGTCTTTGGACTTGCACGTCATTTTGTACAAGTTTTAGAATATCTTTGCTTGGCATGTTCATGTATTCTTGTGCAGCTCTTGCGGCGTTAGAATGTTGATTCTGGACTGAAAACTGCGGCGAATTATCATCTTGGAAGAAGTTTACTCCATTCTCTTTAATTGGAAGCCAACTTGATTGATGCCCGTTCTTCACAGAATTGTCCTTGACAAAATCATTCTTCAAAGTGAATTGTTTCCCGTTATTTTCTTGCAGAGGACTATAGTGAATTATATTCTTTTGCTGAGGCAAGTCTAATTTATTTAATTTATGTTTTGGATCAGATATTTTCTTAAGTTGAAGTTTAAAGATTCTCGGCTTTTCCACTTTACCCGGTAATTTTTKATTTTTATTTTGTTGGTATTGTAGCCGTTGCTTTTCCAATGTGGCATCCAAAGAAGGCTTTAAGTTGTATTTTGTTTGCTGTAAATTTTCAACGGAATTTAAACCTCTATTTTTCCCCGATGTAACTACTTCTTTCATCTTGTTCACTTTAATCCCCAACCCTTTTGAATTTTCCATTTTGTTATTTTCCTGATATCCATAATATTCCAGAACTTTATTCACATCTTGGTCAACGAGTGAAGCTTCTTCCTTGCTAAGGAGTCCCAGAACTTGACCATTAACGGCGTTCTGCTTGACATTTCCACTTGTAGATGCTCTCTGCGCTTCTGGATGAGTGCTATGATCCACAAATTCTACAGCAAATTGTTCCCTCTTTGAGATTTTAGGTTTGGAGTTTATTCTTCCGAGAACTGGAAGTAAATTTTCTGTTTTGTCTTTCTTGGTGGCTGGAAGAGGATCGATAGCCATGTCCCGCTTTGAATCGTAGTCTGCAATCTCTTCAAATAAAAAGCAACCGATAAAATCTTTTAAAAACCACTATAATTTAGACTCAAGTTTAAAAATGATGAAGTCTTAATCATTTGTGAAGTTTTATTTCACAAATGGTTAAGATTCAGTTTTCAGATGCGTAGGACATCACTGAACATTGGGAAGAAAAACGTTTTTCTCCTCAAATGCTAGCCCATCCGACGATAGTTCATACAAACACCATAAACGTTCTTCGTATATTGTGTGATTTACCAAAAATTGCAATAAAAAAATTAGAATAAAACTAAAATGTGAGAATAAAAACTACGATTCAGTGTTTATTCATAGGAATGTATAGTAGTTTTTTTGGCAAAAAGGTTGAGGTAAATTGATATATTTATATATTGCCTTTGGATGACTGTGTTTTTGATTCAAATTCGTATTTATGGTATAAAAGACATTATCACGGTACCATCATTGCTACACCCAAGATCATTCAACGGACCATTTACTAGACTCACTTCAACAACAGTGGTTTACATGTATCATCGAGTTTATACGCTATATAAATATTATCAATATTAGAAAAACACACTTGAGTTAGTACCATACCTGTTAGTGACTGTTCCCCATGAAGCACTTTGCATTCAATCTCAACAACTATGAATAGACATAACAAGAACACCAATACAAACACTCGTAAAGCAGCCATCCTTTTCYTCAAAAACTCGTTCAATCTTGACTCATTTTGTCTGCGTTTTGTAGGACTTTTTCTCTCTCGATCAATTAAATTTTAGACGTGTTTTGAGATGGCATTTCTTATGCAGGGCGTTGCGGGTTCTACCTGCTTAACGAAGACAAGGGTTAACCCGTAAGAGGTTCCGCTATGATCTAGTCTTATTTTTTTAAATTGAAATACCATTACACCTGTTCTGGCGGATTGGCAGAGGATATGGATTTCAGCGTTRCCATAGTAAAAACAATGAATAGAATTGATCTTCAATTTTTTAAGAATTTCCTAAAGGTTTAAAAGATTTTCAGGAATTTCATCACTGATTCTCAAATAGTGAGTGATTACGTCATTGTACTTCGTATCTTGACGTTAAAGTTTTTTCTTTCCTTTCTTTCTTTCTTTCATATGTTTCCTTCAATTTTGTATTATGCCTGCAAAAATCCCGAAAAAATAATGTTGTTGATCAGAAATGTTTTTTTTTTATGTGTAGAAATGTTAATCCTTCTGAATTATTAGCCTTCCACTCCTCCTCCCTTCCTCCCTCCCTTAATTCCTTGCTTGCTTGCTTGCTTGCTTGCTTGCTTGCTTGCTTGCTTCCTTCCTTGCTTGCTTGCTTGCTTGCTTCCTTCCTTCCTTCCTTCCTTCCTCCTTCCTTCCTTCCTTCCTCCTTCCTTTTGTCTTTCATTGGGTAACACACAACAGGCAGAACGAAGCCTGGGAGTGGATGAACAAACAATGAATGGTGAGATAAAGCAAAGAACGCAGCTCACATGTGGAACAATACACATTGTKCACCATAATCCATGCTTTCTTTGTTTTTGTTATTTTGCCCAATCCCAAGCTTCGTTCTACCAGTGGACACCGATCCCTTTCATTCGCAGCTCCGGCCAAACGACCCGACACAGGGACCTGGGTACTACTCTACCTCCCGCAAGCACCATAATCAGCGGTTTCCCACCTCTAAATCAAAATGGCGGACTTCTAACGAATCCACAATCAAAATAATCTCAAAAAAAACAAATGCTTTTTACACACTTTGTACATAATATTTGATATAAATGAGGCTTCTYAAGCCTAACTGGGTCTCCCATGATGGTAAGTTTATCTTTATTCGTACAGAMGTGGTTAGAATAAACACGTGACTGAAGATTGTAAGATTCGTTGACTTTTTAATTGAAATCYAATATTTGAGTATTTTAAATGCTTCTGAAAGCAGAATGTATGAATATTTAGCGCATTAGAGCCTTGAAATGCGTATTATATTTTGCGCATGAAATATTATATGTATTACGCTTTAAAAAGGTAGTTTTTATCGTGAACGTTGTGCAAAAAACAGACAAGAAATTGGAACTTGGAAAGTACCGACTTATACTACATGTAGCTTGAATAGAATTATATATATAATACGCATAATACATCTATTATAGCAAGTCTGCCCTGTAATGGATAACTAGAGCATTCTCACATGGAAGCCATGTTGATTATAGACAATAGATTTTTAGCTATATTTTTATCATAATTTCAAGCACATAAGAAAGAGGTTACTCAGGGTTAAATAAAGGTTTCTTATTCTCATGGGTATAAATAAGGCACATTGTAATAAAGGACCATAATTTCAAGAACATACATATACTTTATTTTCATGTCGGTTTAGTAGCATACCCCAATTAGACAGTACAAGGCTTAAAATACTGTACTAACTTTGAGCGATGACCTGCGCGGGCAAACTATCTGGGTACAGTAAGTGTATATTGAATTTTTAACGAGAAAACACTCAGTCCCCCACAATTCCAATCAGTCCCAGATTTCTGATATCAGATATCCAACCGACAACGTTTTTTGAAATAGGTGTATAGCTTTCTTGAGATTTACATATTCGTAGTGTTACCAGGTTATATACTTGATGATGTTATTAATGAGTTATATTGGTTTGTTTCCATAGGGAGACCAATATTCTCAGTTGATATTCATCCTGATGGCTCAAGATTTGCTACTGGAGGCCAAGGTACATACTTATAGTAATATTATTCAATTATTTTTTGGCAAATATATTCTTGAGGGGCAACCATATGACTCAATAACCCCTGGATATAAATACTATAATAATAAAAGAGCCACCATGTTGGTTCATATAATGAAAGGAGCTAATGAGGAATGCTTCGTTATTGTCAAAAAACATGGTGGGTATGAAATAATTTATCCCAAGAATATATGAATTTTTTTTCAAATTCAGTTAATATCATGTTTATTTGATGTTAGACTTATTTCACTGTCGAATTATTCACAAATGCCAAATGGTAAAGTAAAGGATGCTTTACTTCTACAACAATACAAACACTTTAAAATTACATGGGGCTTCACTGGAACATGTACATGGATATTGTACGCACAATCTAGACTACTTTAACTCTAAGTAGCAGAGAAATCAAAATTGGGTCTCTTTCTTTGGTTCCTGGACACATTTTCCGTAATTCAATCGAAACAGCAAATGACCATATTATGTTATACAATAGCAGAACAAACCTAATAAAGAATACTATAGGTTACTAGTATACAGAAAGACCAAAATTGGAGTATGCAACTCATGCTTTAATCATGAAATATATTGTCCTCTTTCAGGTGATGAATGTGGWAAAGTGGCAATCTGGAACATGGGTCCAATCAAAAGTGAAGAAGAAGAGCTTAATGATGATATTCCAAAGTTACTTTGTACGATGGACAACCATCTTGGTKAGTAACTAGATTTGAACTTAAATTCAGTAAATTCCATAAAATTTATTTATTGAGGACAGTAGCAGACACAATGGAAAAAATGGTGTCTGATGAAACTGTACTTGGGTTTTCTGTCTTCTAGCATGCATCAATTGTGTGCGCTGGTCCAATAATGGGAAATACTTAGCATCAGGAGGAGATGATAACTTGGTCATGATATGGCAGATGACAAGGTATGGTGCTGTGGTATGCTTTACTATTCTTTGGTATGCTGTGGTATGCTGTGGTATGCTGTGGTATGCTGTGGTATGCTGTGGTATGCTGTGCTACTGTGTTGTACTATACTGTGCTATGCTATGCTGTGCTTTGCTTTGCTATGCTGTGCTAGCTGTGCTAAATGTATGCTGTAGTGTGTTCTGTTGTTTTTTGATGCACTATGACATGCTGAGCTATGCTGAGCTACATGTATTTTGTGTTGTGCTGTGCTTTGCTATGCTGTGGTATACTGTGCTATGCTGTGTTACATGTATGCTTTGCTGTGCTTATAGTGTGTTCTGCTGTTCTTTGATACATTATGACATGCTTGAGCTATGTTGAGCTATTTTGTGCTGTGCTGTGTTGTGCTGTACTGTACTGTAGTCTATTGTGCTATCCTTTACTGCATTATAATATTATATTGTTTTGTGCTGTGCTGTGCAATGCTTACCATCTACATGTACAATCAAAAATCTCTGTTAATTGAAATTCTATGTAACAAATAATGTTATATTTAAATCACCTAATCCACCTGCTTGAACAAACCAGATATCATGGCCCAATGACAACATTTGGAGGAGGCAGAGGAAAACTGAACATTGAACAATGGAGATGTGTTCATAACTTAAGGCAACACAGTGGAGGTAAATATATATGGTACATACAATAATTGGTAGAATTCCATTGTTAATTATCCTTGAAATTCCCACA